TCGTTATTGAACTTGTTAGTGATCTGGGGAGATTTATGAGTTGCTTTTTTCTGTGCTGTGAGGCGTTATGATTTGTTGGTTATGGGCACACGTGGTGCAGATCTATTGGGGATTCATAGTGGAAGTCGAGCGGGAAGAGTAATCGGATGTTGCTCGGTAAATGGAGTGTGGGTTATGACCTATCAGGTGGCGTGTCGTATGTTGTTTATGTCACCGTGGGTGCAATGAATTGCCTTGGTTTCAGACATCAAATTGTGTGTGGCTGTCGAATTTTGATCACAGTGTCTTGAGGTGCTCCATGTGTAACAGTGTTTGGATAGGATCGCGCATTGTAGCGAGGCTGCGTTGAGTTATGACCTTTCGGGGTAGATTCAGGTGTTCTATTTCTATGATGTGAGACGGGGTCTCAGCCTTGTGTTGTGATGATACTGATGAGCTTGAAGTACAACTCTTTTGTTTGAGTTATTTTCATGATTTGAGTATATTCAGGTCGTTTCTTGTTGGTACGCGTATTATGCAAGTTGTGGCTTAGGCCTGTATTGAGGTATCATATCACCAGAGTGGTGTGTTGGATTCGAGGTGATCCTCAGAGTTATTAATGAATACGAACAGAATTGATTGCAGCTAGTTAGAGAGATAATATCAAGGTATGGCCCGAAAATCTGTTGTGATATTAGTCAAAGGGAAGTGGCTTCATGAATGGTTGATCTGAGGAATGGTTACGGTTTATCGCGTGTTTCATTTGTTGTTGGCAGTATATGGAAGTGTTGGAATAAGACTTTAGCTAATAAAAGGTTTTCTATCGGTATTTGGTTATTATGGGCAACTACTGTAAATAGAGGCTATCGTTTCGAGTGTTTGGATTATGTGGTATATCATATGATTTCACCTGAGGTTGCAAGTATAGGTTATTACAGCTGGTTCGGGTTTATTCTGGGTATAGATGTGAGGTTCTGATATTGTGTGTGATTTCGGAAAGTGCAATGTGGTTCTATGGTTTAGGGTTTAAATGGACTGTGAGATTTCGGCTATATTGTGTTGTCGGACCTATATGAGATAGGGTGACGTGAGATCACCCCGGGTATATGCTTGGTAAAGTTATTCAGCTGTTGGTTAGCTTCTAGGACAACTCTGGGTACGCTCGAGGATTAAGTTGGGGAGGATGTGACGACCCGACCCGTCGTCTCATGTATTACAGCCCCGTTTCCCCCATTTACTGCTTCTTCATGTTCCATTATCAGCAACGAGTGAGTTATACTTGAATTGAATTGGTTTGGATAGGAAATGAGACACTTAGTCTCTTTAAGGAAGGCTTAAGTTAGAAAGGTCAACTGGACGTTGACTTATGAGTTAGAAGGCTCGGATGTGAAGCGAGAGGCAGTCCGCAAAAGCGGACATCGCAGGAGCGGTTTGCGACCGCAGAAGCGATCCTGGGGATTTTAAGTTAGACCGCAGAAGCGGTTATTTTGACGCAGAAGCGGGAACCGCAGGTGCGGTATCCCAACCGCAGAAGCGGAGACCTGGCTGGGTTTAAGTGAACAGTGTTTTCACGATTTTGAAAGAGAAGAAACATTTTGGACTTCGGACTAAGCAGATTTTGGGCGATTTTGAAGAGGGTTTCGAGGGCTATCATCAGGTATGGATTCTTGGGCTTAGATTATGATATTATTGTGTATAAACATGGATTAACACTGAAAACCCAAGGAATTAAAGGGTAAAAATGGAGGTTAGGGCTTGAAACTTAAGAAAAGTTAAACTAGGGATTTGAGTGGTCAAATGGACTCCGATTTTGGTAAATTTTATATGTATGGACTCGTGGCGAGACGAGGAATCCGGTGATGTGAATTTTGTAATTTTTTGAGAAGCGGGCCCGGGGCTCGGGTTTTGCTAGTTTCGAGATTCTTGCTAATTTTCGATTGTTTTCGATTGGGTATTGTTCCCTTAGCATATTGTGATGTATTCGCTCTGATTTTGGTTAGATTCGACGTGCGTGGAGGCCGTTAGAGGGGCAAAGGCGCCGCGAGCTAGGGATTTCACCGGTTCGAGGTGAGTAATACATGTAAATGATATCCTGAGGGTTTGAAATCCCGGATTTGCACATCATAGTGCTGTATTGTGGTGACTTGCACGCCAGGTATGAGCGTGGGTTAGAGCACCATTGGGGATGGTGACTTGGTCCGTCCCGGTTGTTGATTTTACTGCGTAATTGACTAAAACTTGCTTGATGCTATCGTGATTTGGGTTGATTGCCATGTTTTGGGCTTCGTGCCGATTATTTGAATCCTTTAGGGATTATTATTGCTGTTTTCATGACACGTAGCATGTTAAATGACTTCAGTCCCGAGTTAAACACAGTTTTGAAATGTGCAGTCATATTGCTAAAGTTTAAAGACTTAAATTGCATTTTCTGATGTTTTGAGTTAAAAGCTGTTACTTGACATTGCCCGAGTGGCTCATTTGCATTGATCTGAACTGAATATGGATCGGGCTGCACGCCGCAGCGATACTATGATGATATTGCGCTTGGGCTGTAGGAGCCCCTCCGGAGTCTGAACCCGCACAGTGAGCGCGGGTACCCAAATGGATTGGGCTGCGCGCCGCAGCGGTCATGTGCATTGCATTGCATTCATGCATTGGTTCCTGTTTGTACTACGTGTCATGACATTCAGCACTCTCATATCATTGGCATCCATGCTACTTCTTGCACTGTTTACCAGATACCCTGGTGCTATTTGTTAATGGAGTGCTGTGCCCGAGGGGCTGACTTATGTGCGGACTTGCACTATCTGATTACGCATTCATTTGCTTGACTGTTGGAAAAGGATATTTTCAAAAGAGGTTTTTAAACTGAGCCAGATATTTTCTAAAGGATTTTTCACGGTTTTACTATTTTCTCAAAGGGTTGTACTGTCCTATATAGCATGATGGAGTGCTCTTACGTGATTTCTTGTCTCTCAGTTATTATTTACTCTTATTACCACTGAACTGGAAGTACTCACTTTACTCCCTGCACCTCGCGTGCAGTTGCAGGTATTGTTCACCCGGTAGCGGGTGATTAGCGGACTGAAGGTAATACTAATGTAGCTGAGCAAGGTGACCGCCAGCGTTCGCGGCACCGGACTTCATCTTTTGGATTCCAGATTTCATTTTATATATATATATATGACCCTGTAGTTGTGTTCCTACTTCTTAGATGTTCGTGACTTGTGACACCCCGGTCGGGTTAAGTGGGGTTGAAAATACTGA